ACCAAGCTCCCAACGAGGGGCGTGGGTCATACGGCCGATACATGCGTTGGATGGTGCCCTCGCCTTCTCATCGGGTCAGCAACAACCGAACAATTCACAGTATAGCCGTAGCAGGATCACTTTATCTCACCGGGCCGCAAGCGACCCGACAATTCCGAATATAGCTACTACGGCATCAGATTATCTCGCCACGGTTGCCGCTGGCACGGGAGAATGGCTGGTACTGGCACGCGTCATATATCGGTTCAGTGGTGAAAGGACGATTCAATCATCACTGAATCCGACAATGAATCGTGCCCAAAGAACGCGTTATCATGGGTACCTAGCAACAACTGACAATTCACATTATAGCCGCAGCAGCATCACTTTATCTCACCGGGCCGCAAGCGACCCGACAATTCCGAATATAGCTACTACGGCATCAGATTATCTCGCCGAATTTCACTAGAAACCCATGATCACCGCGCCCCTGAAGTGCAACGGGGGTCCCGGGCCGCTTGCGAGCAAGCGGCCGTTGCACCTTGAGTACCCTAGAACACCTTACCCCCCTAGAATATCCGTCAATTCCTTTCACCGCACGACGACCATCACCAAGCTCCCAAGATGGGGCGTGGGTCATACGGCCGATACATGCGTTGGATGGTGCCCTCGCCTTCTCATTGGGTCAGCAACAACCGGACAATTCACAATATAGCCGTAGCAGGATCACTTTATCTCACCGGGCCGCAAGCGACCCGACAATTCCGAATNTGAGTACCCTAGAACACCTTACCCCCCTAGAATATCCGTCAATTCCTTTCACCGCACGACGACCATCACCAAGCTCCCAAGATGGGGCATGGGTCATACGGCCGATACATGTGTTGGATGGTGCCCTCGCCTTCTCATCGGGTCAGCAACAACCGGACAATTCACAATATAGCCGTAGCAGGATCACTTTATCTCACCGGGCCGCAAGCGACCCGACAATTCCGAATATAGCTACTACGGCATCAGATTATCTCGCCACGGTTGCCGCTGGCACGGGAGAATGGCTGGTACTGGCACGCGTCATACATCGGTTCAGTGGTGAAAGGACGATTCACATTATACCGTAGCAGCATCACATTATCTCACCGAGCCGCAAGCGACCCGACAATTCCGAATATAGCTACTACGGCATCAGATTATCTCGCCTCAATCATCACTGAATCCGACAATGAATCGTGCCCAAAGAACGCGTTATCATGGGTCCCTAGCAACAACTGACGATTCACATTATAGCCGCAGCAGCATCACTTTATCTCACCGGGCCGCAAGCGACCCGACAATTCCGAATATAGCTACTACGGCATCAGATTATCTCGCCGAATTGCACTAGAAACCCATGATCACCGCGCCCCTGAAGTGCAACGGGGGTCCCGGGCCGCTTGCGAGCAAGCGGCCGTTGCACCTTGAGTACCCTAGAACACCTTACCCCCCTAAAATATCCGTCAATTCCTTTCACCGCACGACGACCATCACCAAGCTCCCAAGATGGGGCGTGGGTCATACGGTCAGTACATGCGTTAGATGGTGCCCTCGACTCCTCATCGGGTCAACAAACAACCGGACAATTCACATTATAGCCGTAGCAGCATCACATTATCTCACCGAGCCGCAAGCGACCCGAC